GCCCATTGTAGACCAATAGCAGGCTAAACAGAACTGGATGTCTGGCACAGCTCTCAATACTGTTTACATAGGAGTCAACTTTTGTTACTTGCACTTTATTTTTCTTTAGGCTTAGCAAATTTTCAGTTTCTCAGATTTTAAGGTTCTAACTGACCCAGAGAGAGTTATGATTACCCCACTATTTTATCATTATATTTAAGTTATTGGCACCTGATATGTTTAAACATAATGGCTTTTAGAAGATTAGACCGATCATCAGTCAGTTAGACCAGTTCAGCTCATGATAGCCAGACTTGACACCTAATTTGTTCAACTGTAGGAGTACGTATACTGCAATACGTTTAGGTGTTAACATCACCTACATCTGTCAAACCGATTGCCCACCCTGACTCGTGTACACGGGTGTTTTTGTGCAGGTGTACAGCCAGCTGCCTTTGCAGAAGGTGTCAGTCATTGTGACTGCACAGCAGGGTACTGCTTCTCAGGGCCAGGGGAACTTCGTCGTGCAACTCGCTCATTCTTCATGGAACCGAACAATCAAAAGGATGACGTCTACAGCGTCTTTAGAGTAGAAAATTGGTCATTTATTGGAATTGATTGTAGTCAATTTATACGTAGTCTGTTTTATATTTACACAACCAGTCAAAAGTAGGAAACCCTTTCCCAATGAAGTGAATGGGAAAGTGTGTCCAGACGTTTGTCTGTCGTGTATATGAGAAAAGAAGATGTTGGATGTCCATCTTGCTGTCTGGTTGTGTCATTGTCTCTGTTTCTTCATTTACAGGAAATTGGAATCAAAATTGTGACCAATTCCAATGTGAAGAAACCTTATGATTGCAATATTGCATATTATGGTATGTTTTATGTTTTATGTTATTTCACTGTTATTGTTCATTGATACTGAAACTACCTTTTTACTGTGAACTTTTAGTAGAGATGGACCAGGTTCTTCCGCCACCCAAAGGAGAAAAAGGTGGACCGGGGCCTGTTAGAACACAGTTTCTTGAGAGCTCTTGGGTAAGTATAGTTGTGTAATTATTATTATTATTATTATTCTGTCTATGTGTCCCTAGATTTCTTTGAGGATTCTGCTCCCATGGGCTTTGAAATGATGTCTCAGAGTTCAGGTATGCCTGAAGATAAAGCGGAGGTGAAGAAGGAAACCATCAGGACGTTCTTCCCTGAGACCTGGATCTGGGACCTAGTTACTGTGGGGTAATAATGTTCCATGAAAAGAATTGAAACAAACATTTGTCCTGTTTCCAGGCATTTGTGCATTTTGAATACTGGCAGAAGAATGTTGTTTCTTATATTGGTTTTTGTTTGTTGCATGTTCCGATTGCTGGTTAGATCAGCGAAACAAAAAAGACATTAAACAGTGAAAAGCAGCCAGTCTTCACATTTGAGAAGCTGTAACAAAATATTTTTAAGACATTTTTACTCCATAAATTGCTTGAAGTCCCAGAAATCTTGGTTGTACATCCCAGGTATTTTTCTGCAAAAAAGAAATAGCCATGACTAAATAAGCAACAATTGCCTCAAAAGGTATGAAACAAGGCACCTTTTAATAAACGTTTAACAGTATATAATTTTGCTAATCCACTTGGTCAGAACTTTTTGGGTGTGTTTGAATAGGTTTCACTGACGGTGACCAAAGCCATTAACTGTCATCACATTCAAGATTCAAGATTTTTATTTGCCATTTATGCATAAACACACAGTCTAGGCATATAGGAGTTCTTGTGCAGGGCTCTCCTGGAGTCACGTAAAGGGTTTAAAGCCAAAAGAACGAACGCCTAGTCTAAATATAAGATCACCCAAGAATATAAAATAGTCAACAAAATTGTGGATACAGGAATAAGATAGCAGGTAAAATGGGGAGTTTCAAATATTGCACATGGTGGAATTGTATATGGTATCCTCCTTAGTATGATAATGAGGGGTTATTGCACAGGTTTTCCACATTTTGTATTTGCCATCAGTCTTACTGCACCAGGGGAATCTTAAAATCTTGTTCTGTGTGTGATGATACTGCCCGCTCTGCTGTGCCTGAGGTTGTAGGTGCAGTTTTTGTGTCTAGTCTTGTAAATGAAATCAAATGTCATCTAGTCCGTATTGGTTCATGGATTTATGCGACACACATTTTCAACTGACTCCACCTATCGAGTCTAAAAACTGTAGGCAGGTTAAGAGTTCCCAGAAGTGAAGGCACTGCAACACGATCGGTGGGACAGGACGGGAGGCAAACTAAAACAAAACAAACCACAAATCAGATCAGTTTTTCTCAAGACGTCATTTCTGGTGGTTTTTGGTAGCTATTATCATGTTGATGTATGTACACGTGGTTGTTTTCCTGGTAAGTTTGTTTTTAATAGGTTATTTGACGATATAAAAAAGGGCCATATTTCAGTTCAGCTTTGCTGTCACTCCACTTCTGGTCACTACACAGAATCTGGATGCAACAAAGCAAGATGATATTCACAATAGGTTGGCTTCATTTTTGCATAGTGGAGGAAAGTGGTAACGACACGTCCATCGTATGTTTGTCCCACCCGACACAAAGCTTTTAACATGAATGTAGACTCTTTTTTTTTTATATTGTCTTGTTACAAGTTGGCTTAGATGCCCAAATGGGTCAAAGTTTTGGTGGATTAAACAGAATAAGCCTTGTCAACTAGTGTATATTCATGAGCACATTACAGTGATATTTTCTGAGTAGTTGACCTTTTGTCTCCTCTAAACCCAGAAACATGATTGTTTATTATTTTTTCTACTCACAAAACTCTAAGGGTAACACTATGCTACATTTTCATTTGACTCACTGTCTCATGTTTGTGCAGTGACAATGGCTCACTGAGTCTGGAGAGGACAGTCCCTGACACCATCACTAAGTGGACAGCTGGAGCGTTCTGCATCTCCTCTGTGGGCTTCGGATTATCGCCTACCACTGGACTGACTGCCTTCCAGCCATTCTTTGTCAGTCTCACCTTGCCCTACTCTGTCATTCGTGGGGAGGTCTTTACCCTCAAAGCCACTGTCTTCAACTATCTCCCCAAATGCATTATGGTAACTATTTAACTGATGATGACAGATAGAACTGACAATTAATTTGACTTGGTGTGGATGACAGCTTGACTACATGAAATACGATGTAACAGGAAAATAACATCTCTCATATTATTTTATCCCGTGTGCAGGTGAAGGCAACACTGGCCGATTCAGAGCAGTACACTTTCAGAAACTGTGATGGCTGCCTGTACAGTGTGTGTCTGTGTGGAGAGGAGAGCACTACGTTCTCATGGCTCATTACTCCAACCACCCTCGGTATGTGTGTGTATACTTATCCGTTACATAGACTTGGTCACCATGGAGACCATTTACCAAAGCTGTTTCACTACATTCTCGAAATCAACATTCAGAGAACTGATGTAGGATTGTTTGTTTGTTTGTTTGTTTCAAGTGATGTTGTTGCTGTGTGGTAATGCAGCTCTGAGTGCAGGCTAATTTGAAAACCATCAGTGGTGGAAAATACATTCCCTTAAGACCTGCTACAATTTTGATATGCTCATACTTAATGTATTTTTATTCATCTTTATATTTGGGCTTCATTACATTTCAGAGAAAAATGTTTTAGAACTTTTTAGTCCACTACATTTGCAGTCATTGTAGTCTAGTAACTTTACAAATTAACATTTTACATGCAAAACATATACATTTCTAAAATGTGTATTGCTATAGATAAAAACTACACAACCTTATGCAAAGTCAATGATTTTAAATGCAGGACATTACTAGTTATGGAGGACATCATCTGATTGATACTTTTCACTGTACAAATTATTTAAAAATTATCTAAAATCCTTTGAGAGTTTTTCATTTAACAGAGATTAAGTAACTTAGATTAGTGCCTCCTGTATATGTAGAGTCTGTGGCAAACATTAAAACTGGCTAAATAATCCCTGAGCTGTAGAACTGAAATAACTAGCCAAATAATTGATTAGTCTACTGAAAGGAAATAAGCAATTTCACAACAACAGTTTTAATATTTTATTACTTGTCACTTTTTTAAGCATACCAAGAATTTTGTGTTCATGGTTTTTCAGATGTGAAATATTTGCTGCTTTTCTGATCGTTCTTTGACAGTACGTTAAATGTCTTTACAGATTCAAATGACAGGCAAAAACAAGCATTTTATCTATGTCAGCTTTGTGGGTTGGCACGGTAGTGGGCAGCTACCTGAGAGAGATGAAACACTCTTCACAAGTCTTAAACACTATGGTGTGCCTTGACATGAACAACACTAAAGTGCAAAAAACTGGTAGGGCCCTTTGTAATGTCTGAAAGATCTTTTAAGGGTTTTTCAGCCAATTCAGAGGGAAAATGATGCAGAGTACAGAAAATGTATATTTCATTTTGATCTTTGCAAAATCAGTAATTAGCATTTGCATTAGTGTTCTTTTACAATTGCTGTTCAAAAAAGACGAGTCAGATTCTCTCAACAAGGGCCTCCCCTGCCCTCCAGAAGACGCCTCAACATTCATTTTTATTCTTTAGCTTTCTAAAAAAAAGGTCCCATGGCTGATAGAGAACACAGACATTTCACCATAATTGCCTTCATCAGTGTAGTCGACTTCTACCACAACTCAGCCACATTTACCCACCCAGAGTGATCGATACAGGTGAAACTGATAATAATTAGTCACCCTTCACAAGAAAGCAATCAATACAGGAAACATGCATAAAAAAACAAATAAATATACAATAGCCTTTGTCTATACCACAGTTTTTACCACGTGGCCCAGTCTACACAATGTACTTCTGTCAGTACTAATAAGATATACAGTATTAGGACATGTATAACCTAAACTGTTTTGTGTTGGAAGAACAACAAGAACATTGAGAATCTGACAGAATGAAGATAGAAGTTCCATTAATTTGACTACTGAACAAGGCAGTCATGCCAAAACATGTGTTTACTGTCAGACATGGGATTTTTTTGTTTAAGATAAAATAAAAACAATGTTGCGGCATCGTGTGTGTCTGTGGAGGAAGCACTTATTCAATTTTAAATCAGTGTTGTTTTTTTTAAATGAATTGAAACTTCTCTCAAACCGTGTCGGCCAGTCACCACTCTGCCTCCCCCACAATCGGCACAAACATTTTGCGCTTAGCTGGTTATTCATATAATTAATGTAATCATCATGTCTTTAAAAGTAAACACTGGTGCTTATTCCGTTCAATATAGTCGTGAACTCTCAGTGACAGAGATAAGGCACAACAAGCTAATTAATCCTTATTAAGGACACTGATGGATGTTGCATCTGCTCTGCTGGAAACAAAGAGCGGTGTCTGTTGTAGCACCGCTGCCGGGCCTGAAGGCAGAGGATTTCTATCAGCCCCCATCAGCGATTACAGATACGAGGCTGTGATGAATGTCAGAATGAACTGCTCTAACACCCCCTTACAGGAATGCTGACAATCCATTGTACTAACGAGTCAGGTAGTGTCTCTGACGAAACACTCCGAAACCTCTCCCTCAGGGGGCGATCTGTACTTGTCCTCTGTGTGAAGGATTGTGAGCTGTGAAGGAAGAAAAGGGAGGAGGGGGTGGGAGATGGAGCTGTATGGAGGAGAGGCAATATAATAAGGCAACAAATAGGGATTAATGAGGGCAAATATGATGGGAAACAGGGATGGAATAAAAACGCAGAGTGGGGGTGGAGAACAGGGAGGATAATGAGTCGGTGTGAAAAGCAGATAGGAAGCGGTTTTGCCTCTGTACACAAAGTGTGACAGGGACAGCGAGCGCTAATCAATACACCCATGCTTTCAGAATAAGACTGTTTGTTTGTTTGTGTGCACTCAGGTGAGGTAAATATGAAGGTCAGCACTGAGGCCCTGAAGACTGATGTACTGTGTGGCAATGAGGTGGCCACCGTCCCCGACACTGGCCGAAAGGACACAGTGATCCGCACCCTGCTGGTGGAGGTCAGTGACTGTCAGACAGGACACAAAGTATCACAGCGGTGTGTCACCACAAAGCAGACTGTACTGTGATGTAGTTAAAGCACCTGTTAAAAACCACGCCGGATGTCTTTCCAGTTGACTGTTGGACACTCCTGTCAAAAGTAACATAGAAATAATGCCACAGTAAGATCAAATTCTAGCTGAAAGTTCGACTGAGGAGGGTGTCAGCACATTTCTCTGAGCATTTGTCAAAGTATCTTCAAAAGTTACTCAGCTACTGTAGATCCTGAAGAAAATCACCATTAGTGAAGTATCATTTTTCTTGAATAATTTTCAAACTAATATCGCTATGATGCCGAATGCTAGGGGTAGGTTTACATGGTCAAGGCGTCATAGTATGAGGGGCAACCTATCATGGAAATATTGCTTACCTCTGAAGGCCGCTGTAATGGTGCTTTCTCTTTCTTGTCCTTTTTAACATAGCCATCACACCACTGGCTCTTGTCATCCATTCTAAGCCAAATAGAGTTCAATTTGGGTTGAGTGATTATTCATTTTTTGTTGCAGCAGACAGTTGTTTACAGTGAAAGAACCCTCATAAAAGCATCCTGTACCATACCTGCCCAGAGCCCAACAGTATTCACTTGGTTAACTGTGAACATCTGATGAAAAGTCCAAAGTCAACCATTAGTTAAATCTTTTCCCAGCTTGACTCTGGTTTGTTTATTCCTACTGAAAATATTAATGTTTAATCTTCTTAATCTCAGTATTCTCTCATTTTAAAAGAAGCTCACTTGTTTTTAAAGCAGGTGGCCACCATAGTTTTAGCAGCTATTACTCAAGAGTAGAGAAGAATGCTGTTGCTGGGGACTGACACACACATGGCTGTATCAGACTTTGAGATAGTCCTTGTCAGTGGGGTTTAACAGGTGTGTTTTCATGAAGCCAGTGTTATTTGCTAACATTGTTCTTTGTCTCTGTACAAGGCTGAAGGGACACCACAGATGGTCAGTCACAACGCTCTGCTCTGCCCTGCAGGTGAGGCCTCACACACACTTGGGATTCCTAACAGAGTGAACACCAGGGCACCAGATGAATATGTCGGTTATATCATTCTGTCACAGAGGCCTGTGTTGGGTCCAAGGCTGAAGTTCTCACAGTTCTTAGTGTTGTATATTTCATAGTACCAACAAGAACTGCATATGGAAGTGTATTTTGTTATAACGAGAAACTTAATTGTTTTAAGAAGATAATTTTCTAATTTTTATGAGATACTTCACATTAAAACGTGGTATTTTTCTTGTTATTATGACATGCTGTATTTTTGTTGTTGTAATGTGACAGCAGCACACACCGACTTTGAGCATCTGCTCCGTAGCTGGTGCTTCCTGGCATTTAAACACACATACAAAGTCAAAACATTAGTTCAAGTATCACATGAATGTAGCTCATGAGACATGATAGATAAAAAAATACGCCGCACATGTCCCGATGATGTTACAGCCATTATTAACAGCAGTTAAAGTCAGTGTGTGCACTGCTGTCACTCACTCCAAGCTGTGCAGGGCTCACGTTAGGGAGTACAAATGATATGATCCACTCCGGGCTGTGTGGTATCAAATTATCTATCTAGCTATCTAGCTAGCTAGCTACACATACTAAGTGGGGATTGGGCAATGACTGTCAGAGGCAGCAATATAAAATTGTGCAAAATCATTTTAAAAAAGTGAGTATGGCGCATACAGGATTAGGGCTGCCAGCACCACTGGTATAGTGATAAGTAATTTTAGTCTTCATGTTTCTTCTTGCTGTGACTGGAATGACATGACATTGTATTGTTAGTGTGCTTAACTGTTAAGTATAACTGCAGTACCTACTTCTGCAAAGTACAGGATGACGCTGACTTATGTTGGTATGTATTAAAACATCAGTGTTGTTTCCTATGGACTTATACCAGAGAACAAGACAAAGTGAAGGTCAACCCGTTCCTTTTTACATACATGTTATCGTTTGTGTTTCTCTGTTGCCAGAGGGGCCTGTAGAGAAGAACATCTCTCTTCTGATGCCTGAGATGTTTGTGGCTGGATCAGCGAGGGCCTCTGTCTCTGTACTGGGTTAGAAACCTAACATGTTGACATGTGGAGTTTCCATCTTTTTTTTTGCTTCTACCCTGATGTAGAAAATGTTTGCGGGGTGGAATCTTGTCTTTTATCTTTCTCTTTTCGTGCTTATGCATGCAGGCGACCTGATGGGCCGAGCTCTGAAGAACCTGGACAGGCTCCTGGCCATGCCATACGGCTGTGGGGAGCAGAACATGGTGTTGTTTGCTCCCAACATCTTCATCCTCAACTACCTGAAAAGCACCGGTCAGCTGACTGCGCAGATTCAGGACAAGGCAACAGGCTTCCTGGAGAGCGGTGAGCCCATAGGACACCCTGAATCAGTCCATTCAGGGTGGACCAGAACCAAAAACCATAAAAGATGGATCTAAATCGGGGATGTTTGCTATAACAAAGGCTCAAGGATGCATCACCTGGTTATACTTTGCCTTTCTTATGGACTGTATCTTCCCACTGGTAAAGGTCTTCATCTGAGAATTTAAGAATTTAGTAAAAGCA